CTGATGGTGTTTTAATAACTAGGATAACTCTTTTACCCTGAGCTACTGATGGTGGAGGAAAGAAGCTAAAACAATTCAAAGAGATTCTTCCTGTGTTTATGCATCTGGGGTTTTCCTACATTGCCTTGGTGTGTAAGGTGGAGCACGCTTGGTTCTGCCATCGGCCATCATTCGCATGCCTGCCAGTGTAAGAAAGTCCTTTGCTTGACCTATGGCTAGTTCACACATGCATGCTCATCACCTGATGAAGGGAAAAACTGATGACCTGACTCCGGGCCAAGTTACACATGACTGAGTCCAGGGTCCCCACCCTGTTTTCTGTGTGATAATAAGACAGGATTTCCTCAATGTATGGTGCCCTATTTGGATTAACATTGCAAAATGTGTGGAGAAGGGACTTTAGCCACCCCACCCATGCCATGGTTCTGACCTGGAAAGATCTGGGGGATGCTATTTGGTCTAATGGGGTAAATCAGCTTGTGTGAATGATCTCTCTGAGATCAAATGCCACTAACTATTCAGATCCTTCTGTGGAAACTCAGAGGAGCAGCCCATATCAGGGGATCAGTTTTCACCTGGGACTCCGGTAATTCCTAGAGAGGTGAGGTGTCCCTTCTAGGGTTTTCCTGGAAGTGACATCACACCGTCACTGATAGTCGCTCCCATGTCCTTGCCCTCTCCACTCTCCTACTGCATTAGGAGACCTCCCTCTAGCAAACTGCTCTTCCCCTGGGAGAAGAATAAACAAACAAACAAAAATTGCCATCAGGCTGATGGTGTGATGTCACTTCTGGGAAAGCTCAGAAATGAGTTCCACCCTTCTACCCCCATTGACTTAGAAGAGTCTGCTTACGGATGCCTCTGTAATTGAGCAGGCTTGGCAAGGACAAAAACAGACAGGCCCGTAGCTACAGTGGGGCACCTTGGGGCCAGGCCCCCTGACTTACTGGCAAGGCCCCACGTCTTCCCACCCAGCCCAGGGCCCCCGAGCGGCGGCAGGCGCAGGGAAGTAGCTGGGTGTTCCTTTAATTTGATTAGCCAGTGCCCCCTAAGAAATTTAAATGCCCCCCCCACTTTAAAAATCCTGGCCATGGGCCTGAAAACAGATTCCTGGGCCTTGGGAGTACAGAATCAGGAAAACACATTCTGAGTCAGCTGGATGCATACGTTTTCTGCCAGTTTCACGGGAGCAGAGGGAGACGGTCCTTTGTTGTGCCGGAACCCTATTCTCTGACGATCGCTCCGCTTATTCTCATCCAGCTACATTCACACGAACAGGATCACACAGAAAGCCGCTGAAGTTGCAGGACAATAATAAAGCAGTCGGGCGTGTGTCCGGCTGTATCTACGATCTGTATGCTAAAAAAAGGCAACTCTTTTGTGCCCGGCCTTCTCTTTGCATCCATTGATAATGTTCTAATTAGAATTTCCTTTGTATGTTTGCTGCAGGAGTAGATTAATTCCAGCAGTCTGTTCAGCCTGCCAGGGGCTTTTGTGGCCAGCAGACTCTCACTCTGACTTTATTAGCTAGGATGTGTGTGTGTGGGGGGGGGATGCTAATTCCCTCTAGTCTATTGGAAATGTCATTTTATTATTAAACACTCTTCTTTTAATAAGTTGGGAGAGCAGCTCCTTGAAATGTGAATTTCCAGATTACGGCCGTTGAAATGCAGGAATATGGTTTCCTCTCATCCCCCTCATAAATTAATCGCAGGTGGAACAAACCATCTCGAAAAGAGACAGGCTTTTTGCTAATACCCAGGTTCTTGCTTCTGAGGGATGATAGACATTGTAATACCAGGACATTTCTTGAAATAAAAGAAGTGTTTCATCCTGTCAGGGAGTCGAAAGCCATTGCCGAGTGCTGTCAGAAAGCCAGTCCCCTGAAAGCCTTTTTAAAAAGTTGCATCCATCCCCAAAGTTTTAACTTTTAAAACGATGGAGCATAATCTGTGCATATTTAAAGTGGTTTCAAATGCCACGGGGCATGTGTGTGGACTGAACTGTGCCACTCAGTGAGACTTCAAAAGCCTTGACTGCTGAAGAGCAACAGTATGTATTTGGAGTTTGCTCATGTCCAGATGGCCCAGGCTAGTTCACTCTCATCAGATTTTGGAAGCTAAGCAAGGTCAATCCTGGTTAATATTTGGATAGAAGAAGAAGAAAGAAGAAGAGGAGAGAGATTGGATTTATACCCCGCCCTTCACTACCCAAAGGGGTCTCAGAGCGGCTTACAATCTCCTTTCCCTTCCCCTCCCCACAACAGACACCCTGTGAACAATGCTCCCTCTAAGCTGTGAAGTCTTGTGAGCAAAAATTCTACTTTGTGAGCTACTGGCATTAAAGTTGTGAACAAGCGATTTGGCTGCTGCATCATTTAGTTTGCTCTGGAGCCATCCTTCCTGAGCTAAGACAAAAATGTGTGAGCTGGAAGCTAAAAAACTGTGAGCTAGCTCACACTAACTCAGTTTAGAGGGAACAGTGCCTGTGAGGTGGGTAAGGCTGAGAGAGATCTGAGAGAACTGTCTTTGAGAGAACAGCTCTGAAAGAACTTGTAACTGGCCCAAGGTCACACCAGCAGCTGCATGTGGAGAAGTGGGGAATCAAACCCGGTTCTCCTAGATTAGAGTCCGTGCTCCTAACCACTACACCACACTGGCTCTCCACGGAGGGTTGCTACACAGAGGCAGGCAACAGCAGACCACCTCCAAAGTCTCTTGCCTTGAAAACCCTGCGGGGTAGGCATAAGTCGGCTGCAACTTGACTGCACTTCCCCACCACCACCACCACGTCTAGGTAACCAAGGGGTCTGCAACTTATGGCTCCAGAGCCAAATGTGGCTCAGTATAGAACCAAATATGGCTCTTTCAAAAAGAAAACAAAATCTTGATGTTAAGGTAGTATTGTAGGGCCTGGTGGGATGCTAGAATAACCGACATTTGAAGGGAGATGTTTGTGAGACAAAAGGGATTCTGAGAGATGCTTTAGAGA